GTCTCTTCCTAGTTTGCCGCATCAAAGCACTCAGCCACATCTGAAGAAAACTGTGGACTTCACTGAAATAGCAAGAGCATAAATAGGATTTATCTGCAGTACATTCTTAACATAACAAAATGAGATCCCACTCTCTGATGTGTCATCTATGATTACTCAACTATGAACCAAATCACCCCTTCGGAAACTTGAGAATATTCTATTGATTTGTAAGGAAGGCCCAATTAAAATCTGCCTTTGAGTTTGCTGGTTCAGTGAATTTGTGGATTCAGTTAGATAATTACTACATTTCAGTACTGTGCAAATTAGCACTTCATCAATTGACCATTAAAATTACATATGGCAGCCAAAGTTTCTGGCTAAATATTTTTTAACTACTTTTTCTTCCTACTGATTAAGTTTGAAGAGTCCTGCAGGCAAGAGGCAATAACTACAGCATAGTCTGTCTGAGGATTATAGCCAATTACACATTTGAGAGCAATGCCCTTACTAGTTTCACATTGGTATCAATGAGTCTCCCTGCTACCTATGAGGAGCAAGCAAGTAATTCCAACAAAAATAAAAGCTGGTATTGTGCAACTAAATATTGTCAGCACATGTGGCTAATGAAGCAAAGGTCTTGTTTGGAGCAGAGCAAATCAGAATCAACCTTGTCTTCACTTACGATTCCTTGAAAGTAAGACTTGATTTCTGATGTTTAAAACACGAATCTGTGCTAATTTAAATAAAATGTGAACATTGATCGTCTAATGGGAGTTTCCCTATTTGCTTACTAAAAAGACATTTCCTTTGAAAGAATTGAGGGTGCAGTTCTGAAACCAGATATCCAAAAAACCTTGGTTATTTTTCTACCTGAGACATCTGAAACATCAATTAAATTGCAACCTTTAACGCTCCCAGGTTATTTGCTATTATCTACATAACCACCTAAACTCACCGATACATTTTATGTGGACGTTTCTTAAGTTTTAATGCCAGTAGCAGTGCGGCAGTAACTGTCAGCACGCTCCATGCTGCTGGTGCTTGAGGACATCTATTAGCAAGTGCAACATCAGCAGTTTAAAAACTCATTAAATAGACCAAATTTAAACGTTTAGATAGTTCAAAGAAAAACGTAACAGCTCGACCGAGCAGTTTAACAGGCTGTCCAAACTCTGGCCTGGGGACCCAAGCTTTCAGCGTGCATACAGTTCATTTTTTTGCAAATCTTGCATTTACACTGGGCAGCAGCTTGACTCACAAGTCCTCTGCAAGCGCTTCTTAATCTTCTCAATCTTATACCATTATGAAGCAATATCCTTCCATCAGAAACTAGTCCCAACCACTCACTCACACCTGGGCTCGGTTCGATCTTAAAAACATAAAATAAATTGGGATAAAAGGAATACGTTTATATCTTCATGTTAATACACACAACCTGTTACACTACAATATCTCTGTAAAGCCTGGTCCAGATCACTCAGTTTTTGGTGTTACACTTTCCCTTCCTCACCTCCCAACCAGTTATTCATCGCTACAACATTAAACACATGCTGCAAAGAGGTAGAAGTAAAGGATGGGAATTCCACCACCAGTTCAGACTTTACAAACTCCAAATTTAACACGACTCCTCTTCTCGCTACATAACTAACTATTCAAAGAACAAAGTTCGGCCCCAACATTGAACAGGAATAAGCAGAATAAAGCAAGTTAACACACCAGTTCAATCATTTAACAAACAACGTCAACATTAGCATATTTCTTTCTCAGTCTTCAAAGGCATAGCAACCATCTCAGTCTTCTATCTATATGTTCACCCCAGTCATCGCATTGGAGGTACACAAGTGAAACTCAATAAATCTTCAGTCTCACCTGCCACTAAACCACACCTCATGCTCTACTGTGTTCACCAATCACCCCAATATTATTTGCTTCATTACTCATCTTGCATTGCATGAGTGCAACTACTCCCAAACTCCACCCAAAACCAACTCTCGAATCAATGACTCAGTCACCTGTGTGATTTAGTTACAAAGAACATTAAGCTTCACTTACCAAACACTGACCAATACTATCCTACAGACACTCACCAGATTCATGTATTTTGTCGGTGAATAGCAATGTAAACAAATTATAAAACAAAAATGATCTTAAAACAGATAACGGTCAATTTTTAAGAGTTTCAAAATCAGAACAAGGTATGATATCAGCAGATACGAATGGAGATGCTGTTTACAATGATCAGAACAAACAAGTATAAATGGATCCAAGGAAAAATGTTTAATTATTTTGATAAATCCCATTTATAATTCCTGAAACTGGAAGAGTGTGATTTTAAAATCTCTTTTTGCCCTAAGCTCTGTTCACATCCCCAATCTTTCATTACTCATGCATGAATCTATTAATTACTTTTTTACCCTTTAGCCATAGCTTTGAAATGGTGTTCCCCCAAGAGCGTTTTTTTTCCTATACATGTACAAGGTCCAAAGTACCTTTCACACTCCTCATCCCAATTTTTAACAAAGCATGAACAGATGAATTGCTGGGTCTAGGCTGAATTCTGGCAGGAGATGTAATGAGAATGGCCTGAAGTGACAAACCCAAAGATATTCTCTGCTGCCCTCCCACTAGACATCAGAAACGCACTTCACAAAGCAGATACAAATCTATGAGCTGAGTTTCTCCTTGGGCGTATTCTGTTAGCCTCCCATCAGCAATTGATGACTTAATAATTACCAGTAATATTAATTGTACCTACCACCTGGCATACCAATTGTAAAGATATGGCACAATCCTCCATCAGATATTTAGCACAAAATAACCCATTTTAAGAGGCAGCTACACCTAACATTCTCCATTATATTTCCCGGCGCCCTCCTCCCCCTTTTGAACTCAATCATCTAGTAAGTACGCAACAGCTGACAATTATCAGTTCATTATCCTATTATGCTTTCATAACTTCTTTTTAATTACACTTCTGGTCTTCATTCTTTTACATTAATTTTGTACATCTTGCCCAGGTCCCTATTCTTTAATTAAAATTTTCCATTTCCTTGATGTTTATCATTGTACTATAAACACATTAAATTGTTTGAGGTTCCGGTTTAAATATAGTAGTTTTATATGCTAATTTACATCAGGCATAACTTCAACTGAGTGACTATTGCAAATAGAATCTGTCAGATGCCTCAGCTAAGCAACAGCGAAAGCGTTCAAATGTTAGTTTTTTTTAAAAGTGGCTTCACAATGTCAGCACAGTTCTGCGTGACAGAATTTGAATGACTAGTTCAATTGTGTGTAGTGCTGTACTATGAGCCACAATAGCTGGCTTGATGACAAGATGATGAATAGAGAATTAAATTTTCTGTTGATTCAGATGTTTGTTCAAACCTAATGTTGGGCCAGAAAAACAATATTACATCTACATGTCATTCACTTCCTCAACACCATCTGGTTAAATACAGATGCTCAGGCATTTGGGAGTTAGAAACAAGAGGTGGATTATAGGTAGCTGGTGTTTTGGGAACTACACCCCAGACATTTGTGATTCCCCACAGAAGGTCTTAATTTCAGCCATAACGAAGAAGCGACATTTCGTAGCGATCTTGTACTTCAATCCCAATGGAAAAAGGATGGTATACAATGCACTATCCAAACTGGGCAGCATTACCATGAAATTTGGTAACGTGCCTCACATGGTAGGGTGTGTGGTTATCATTGTATTGCTAAAGATGTAATTACCGGTAAATGTATTCAATTATAGACGACTTCCTTCTATTTAAATTGTCGCAAGAACATCCTGCAGGCATCAGAGGTGCTTTTCAAACATACCAGGGCATTTTACGTAGATGAGTCATTGATTACTGAAAATGGATAAACCCATCCACAAGTCTCAACAATTTAATTGCATCAATCAACAAAAAAATGGGTACAAATATTCAGCAAGACAATTTCAGCATACACTTTCTGTCAGTCATTTCAGTAACACTTCTTATGCAAGATGCACATCATGCCCCAGCGCAACACAGGTCCGCACCCATATTACAACCATCTGATATCAGATAAGCCAAAAGAGGCAAAGGCCAGGCATCTTTACTTCCCGCCTCCGCTTCCCCCTATTAAAAGGAGGAGAGGAAATGCACCCTTGGGGTTTCCTTACACTTTTGAATAAGATAACCGGACATCAGGATTGGTTGAGGCCTGAGAGCAAAATTCAATCGATACTAAAATCCCTACATTTAATACAGGACAGAGGAAACCAAAAGATAGAAACAAAGGAGTGAAAATAACACTCGGAAGCAAACGCGTGTTACTCTTAATAAAACAGGGAGTGGGAGTGGGGGGTGGGGAGTGGAGGGGGGGTGGGGGGGGAACCGAAGGTGACAAGAACCTTGTTCACGTCCCTGAAGAACCTGCATTTCCTACATCTGCATTTAGCAGAATAACAAGGAACTGTCCTGTCCTGTCCTGCCGTCCATTTTCTTAAAACACGTCCCTTCGCTGGTTTTACAGCCAACGCATTTCTTTGTGTGTATGTATGTGTGTGTGTGTGTATGTGTGTGTGTGTATATGTGCAAAAAATTCCGAGCGTGGACACGGGGGGGGGGGGGGGGGTGGGGGTGGGCATCGAAGCCGCGCTATAAACGAACACCTCAGCAGAAGCTCGTGGAACAAAAGAATCCCGAAAGGACAAAAGAAGACTGTGACAGCGAAAGGCCAACACCGGGGAGGGAAGGGGAGGGGACCGGCCGCGGGGAGAAAGCGGCTGCTCCTCACAGCAACCGGAGAGGGCGGCGGCAGTTGTAGCCGCCGCTCGGGAGCTTTGTTGAGGGCGCAACGGCCCCGGGGGGAGGGGATAGGGGTGTGTGTGTGTGTGTGTTGGGGGTGGTTCGAGGCTGGAGCCGGGGCCCCGGGCTCGGTTGAGTGAGTGAGTGAGTGAGGGAGTGTTGACAGGGAAGGAACTAAATGCGAGGCGGACACAAGCCCAGGTACCGGCCCAGGCCGACCCGACCCGACCTTACCTTTAAAGAGGTAATCGTACTCGTCATCCCGCGTCCCCATCTTGTCCGTGAAATAATAAATATTTTTTTTAAAAAAGGGGGTGGGGGGGGAGACTGGGTTTTTGGTTTAAAAAAAAGAGGACAGAAAAAAAAAGCAGCGGAGACTCCCGAGAGCAGACACTCCCCACTCCCAGCCGCTGGACAGGCACCGCCGCCGTTTGTCGTCACTTCCGCTTCCGGAGACCGGACCGGGTCAAAGGTCACATTTGCCGTCTCTTCCTCTTCCTCCTTCTCTCTCCCCCACCCCCTCCCTCCTCCTCCCGCCCGCAATCTCTATTCTATTCGCGCTTCTCAGGCTGTCGTGGCGGCTCTACCGTTCACGCGGCGGTTTCAAGAAGAAACAGCCGCTCCTGCGGTGACAAAAGAGCTGCAGTGGATAAGTATTTTTTTTGGGGGGGGAAAAAAACGGAGAAATCTCCGGGGAAAGGACATCCGCCCATCCGTCCGCCTCCCGCCCCCCCCCCCCACCGGCCGCCGCCGTCGCCGCCGTCGTTCACCCGCGGACGCAAAGGGGCGAGCGGCGTGCGTGTACGTGTCAATCACCGCGACGTGGTGCAGCGTAGGGCACGCCACCCACCCACACTCCCGTCCCTCCCTCCCTCCCCGGCGACCATGGCAACCGCCGTCAATCGTGGTGACGTCATCCCAGGGCTCTCGGGTGGCGGTGGAGCGCGAGCTCCTCGCTGTGTCGTCGCAGGGGATGACGTGGTTCGGGGAGAGGAGAGGAGGAGAGGAGAGGAGGAGTGGGGGCGCGGGGGCTCCGTATAAAATAAAGAGCAACACATAATCGTCCGGGGATCGCGAAGGAACCGAGTCCCTGTCCGTCCCCGTCCCCCCACCCGGAGGATCCGGCCCGGGGGCCGCCAATCCCTCTGCCGGGAGCCGGTGCGGCGGTCGACTTGACGTTAGATAGACTGGCGGGGGCGCCGTCTTCCCAGCGGGTTCCATGGTGTAATGGTTAGCACTCTGGACTCTGAATCCAGCGATCCGAGTTCAAATCTCGGTGGAACCTTTTATTATTATTATGTCTTTCTGCGTTTTTAGTATTAATAACAGTCATAATAACAACGATCCCCTTTGCATTTGATTTTTTTTAACAAAAAAAGCGCTTTGCGCATCTTCTCGACGTCCCCAAAGCGCTTCGCGGAATATGCTGTAAAGTGAATTGACTGTGTATTTTGTGTGAGGGGTGGATTTTATCAAAAAATATATTCGAAAGTATTCCCTAAATTTACTGAATTACTTATGACGCTTTACGAATGACGGTGCGCGATGCGATTTTGCGCTTCGCAGCTCAAATCCTCGTGGATTTTTACAAAGGTTGTCCGGGCTCATTTTTAAAGCGCGCGTTTCTACCTCTGCCCCTCGCGCCGTTTAGTATTTATTTATTATTTGGTTATTTTCGACGTCCCTTCTGACGTGGGAGGCGCTGTATCAATGTGGTTTGTTGTTAAAAATCAGCAGTCGGTCACAAAGCTTATAAATTGCAAATGTCTGGCTTTACACGGCCAATGGTAAACGGGCCCTATAGTCCGCATTTCCCTTTTTTCACACGTTGCTCTGCACGGTAAATGCAATGAGTTGTTTGCTGTCCTGAGAACGCGGAAATTTGGCTTTCAAAGATTAACTTAAAAATCGACGGTAATAACTGACACCTTATTTTCAGGCCACAAGATGGCACCATGTCTTCTTGATATGTTGCCATCAAGTCAGAATGAGCTCTACCCCTGGGTTGACTTGCCCCTGTGTGGCCACACCACATTGTCAGATGGTCCCCAAATCCTCCAGTCATCTTCTCAAACTGGTACCTGTGCAATTCTTTCTTGAAGGAATAAAAACTACAAAGTACATAAAAGTCCACTCCACCGTGAACTTTTAAGGGTGAATCAAGTGAAACTCGAGATTCGGAGGCTCACATATTGACAGTAAGTTAGTAATCAAAGACCTGACAGCCATGGGAAATGGAAATTTTACATCGGCCTCTGGGGTGAAGAAGAAATCTGGAAGGGTTTAATCAGAATGTTAATACACTGTTTTAAAAAACATGATCTCAAACGTGAGTTTTCCAATGACCTCTGTTAACTGGGCTGAGATCAAAGGCCACAGCCATAAGTACACCAGCTGTGATACTGATGTAATTCTGAACAGCAAACAAAAGTTTAAAAAAAACTTAATAATAATAATCCTTGCCTTGGTAGAGCACCTTATCACAGCGTCACGACATCTCAAATATTCTTTAATATAATATGCTTTAGACTGTAATAATAATATACTATATTGTGGAGTGTAACTATTTGTCAGAGGTTGGCTTCTGAGCTCATACATTTTTTGTTCAAAATGAATTTATTAACCTCTATTCTGCTGGCATGGAAGCAGGAAGTGGTTGGATGTGACACTATGCCTCGCGGTTCCTACAAGGGGTGTTCCCTTCCCATCCCACAAAATACATTCTCAATCCAATTTACAGCAAATTCTGTGAAGCGCTTTGAGATGTTCCAATTATATGATAAGGTGCTATATCAAATGCAAGGATTATTGCCAATGTTATTATCTCAACTGTACCTAAAGAACATTAGAAAGCATGGAACAAGAAGATTATTCTGGCCAACAAGCCTTCATCCATAGACTATGTAAAACCATCCGAAATGTGGACTTCACCCTACATACTCTATCTCCTGGGGAACGTTCTGCATCAATAGTCAATACTATTGACTTCAGCCCACCCCATATAATCAACCAACAGATTTCCTCCAGAGCATTCATCTACAAATATACAGGCAAGTCACTTTACAGTATATTCTGTGAAGCACTTTGAGACGTCCAGCAGATGTGAAAAGCACTATGCCAAATGCAAGGATTATTATTATCTATATTATCCACCTGCACACCAGAGGCAGAGGTTAAACAGAGGCAGATGGTGCAGGAAGAAAGTCAGGAGGAAAAGTGGAGAAAATTAATTATAATAATAATAATAATTCTTGCATTTAATGTAGCACCTTATCACGTTCATTGAGACGTTTGAAAGCGCTTCACAGGATACACTGTAAACTGGAGCGACTGTAGTTTGTATTTTATTAAAAAATACAGGAATTTATAAAAAGTCAATCTGAATGATTTTTGGGGGTGGGGCGGGCGGGTGGGGCGCGAGAGAAAGGAGGAGGGGGAGAGTTGTAATGCAAAGCACCCAAGGCAGGGACATGCCGATGGTGCGGTACGTTGCGAGGTAGGCGTTAGGACCCCGGGGAGGAGTGGGACGCGGTGGCTCTGGTGCCCGCGCATGCGCCCTGCTCCCATCACAACCAAGATGGCGGTGGGCGGGGAGCGGGGGTTGCTCCGCCCGCGCGTCGCTCGGCAAAAGCTGTCAAGCCCCGAAACGTGAATGGTAAAGCCCTTTCGCTCGGGCTCGGCCCCAGTCGCGTCAAGGAGAAGCCGAGCGCCGGGGCCGTGAGTCTTTCTGGTGCTTTTAATGTCTCGAGGAGGAGGCTTTTCTTTGGGGTGAGGGGGGGGGAAGGGGTAAAAAAAAAACTCCCGTTCGATTTTTTTTGAAAAGAAACGGTTGGGCGGCTCGCGCGCCCGGGCGCGCATGCGCACCCGGCCCGAGCCCCAACCGCCCGCCCAGCGGGTCTGTCAGCTGCACACACACACACACACACGAGAGGCCGAGCATGCGCAGAGCGCTCCGGAGGACACACCGGTCCGGCCGCTGACATGTGGAAGGTGTCAACGTGTCCCGTCCCCACCCCCCACCCCACCCCTGCGGCTCAGCGCAAACTCCGCGGCTGTGAACGTGTCCGAGTAGCTCGTGCTTGTTGACCCTGCGCCAGCCAACCCGGTCTCCGATCGCAAGGCCGGCGGCCCCGTCCGTTCGTGTACCGTTCGGAGAAGTCTCGGCGAGGCTGTCACCGCCGTCACGTCGCATCACGGGCTTTGCTTCGTCGCCCTTTTCGGAAGGTAAAGGCGACGGTGAGGCGGTCAACCTTCAGACACGCCGCAGCGGGCGATTTATTTTACGGGCACATTTTATTCTTGTTATTCTAAGCTGCCCCGAAACCGTGTTAGCGGCGGGGGGGCGGGGGGGTTGGTTGGCGGGGAGCGCGGGGTTGACTGGTTTATTTCGTTCGCTGAACGCGCGGCCAACCGGGAATGCTCCTCCGGTCTTGGGGAAACTCCCGTGGCTGAGGGATTCGTGAGTCGAATCGGATGCAGCGTTGGGATTCTTACCACAGGTGGTCGGTCTCCGGTTCTGTCTCAAGTCTTCCCCATATTAAAGTCTGCTGCTGTGTTTCTAATGTAAATGTTGTTACTTTTTTTTAAAAAAAATGCCTCCTATTTAAATTCGAAAAACGTGACAAAACCCCGAGAGCGAACTTGTCAACGTTTAAGACGAGGCGTTTGCTTTGCAAATGCAGACATAACTCTGAACGTCTGTGGTGATCGTTCGCGTTATTTCACAGCAGATTATTCCTTTTTTTTAATTTTTCTTTGGAGATAAGGCATATGCATTTCAGATTGAATTCTTATTACATATGGTTGTGGGGTGGCGGGAGTAACTGGCCACAGTGAACCGTCATTTCTGGGTTTATATGTTACTAAGGACTTTCTGTGATCCTCCTTGAGGTTTCCAGTGACTCTAGATCTGTCAGCATGTATTCAGCATTGCTTGTGCAACCATGCTGTGAAAAGCTCTCGTTTATTTTTTTAGCGAAATTAATTGAAACAACATGGGCTGAAATAGCAATAGCGAAATTTGTATTTGATTAGAGACTCTCGCCATACAAAGTATGCCAGAAGCGTGAATGTTACCACTTGGTATTTGGTTTGTCCCCTCTGTTCTGATCTGTCAGATTATAATGTAAAATGGTATTGTTCAAATCTCCCTTTCCTTCCCCTGTTTGGAGTTCCCCGTTGTCTTTGTGAGATGCTTGGTGGCGTTTGTGGAAAAATGCAAGCCGCTCTTGTGTTGTCTTTATTTTTGTGTGTCTGAGAGGGAGCTCAGTTTGTGTAGTGACCTCCTCGGAATACCCCCAATTGACGAACAGCTTTTTTTGCTACTAGGGGAATTCATATTTCGTATATCTCCACAATGTGATTATTTTGTAAGTCACTGTGCTTTGATTACAATTTTGACTTTACACCATGCAACATAACTTGTACTGTCAGGTGCAGTGGCTGACTGATTTGGGGAAGGATAAACAAAAATAATAATAATCATTAATCCTTAAGTTTAGTAGCGCCTTTCACTTTGGGAGAATGTCCCAAAGA